AAATCTGACCTTTTCAAATGCGACCTGTGTCCGAACGGCCAGGAAGCATTCATCCGACCTGAACGCCATTAGTAACCGACATAGGTCACTATTATGCTTCTTGATATACAGAAGCGGGAAGAGAAAACAAACATTCTTGAAAAGATTGAGGTTTTAAGGTCTGGAAAGATCAGAAGATGCGCTCCAGCACTACATCCATGTTTACTTCCGTAAACACAAATCACGCTGGCATGTGACATCATTGCATTGTGCATGCGGGACACTTAAGCTGTATGAATGCAGTTTACACAGGAGTTCACATAGAAGTCGCATGTATTTGGAAATGTGAACGGCAATGCAAAAAAAATCGGATTTCACAAAAAAAATAGGAATTGAGCATCAAGGCCTGCAGTGTGAACGTAGCCTTAGATGCATCTCTTTACTAACGCACTCAATCCCCTCGTTTAGCTCAGCAGAGCATTGGTAACAAGCCACTCATTTGATTCAGCAGTGTTGAGGACTGAAGTTGAACACTCCTGAGATGGAGGCATCAATGGCAACAGGTGTCCATCCACCAACTAAATACATTACTGGGATGCAGCACTGTATTTAAAAGTCAAAAAATTTTGCACTCAATATTAAACAGTATGGTGCGGCTGCTTGGTAAAAGAATCACGCAGCCCTGCTTTCAATTAAAACTTTCTCCCTAACCTGCTCCTCCTTTCCATGGTCTTCATGATGCTGTTTTTCCTCTAATGTTCTTTTCCAAACTTCTGAGGCAAAAAACAGATTGGCTGCAAATATACCAAGTTAGACTTGATCAAAGATGAACTGTTTACTATTAAGGGGATTTCTAACAGCAAAACATTTAGTGTCATTTAGTAGAACCAAAGTAAATGTGGTATTTTCTATTCATTTTATGTTGATCTATCCCATAAAATACAAAAAGGGAAATTGAACTGGGTGCTTTCTATGCATGTTTAACTGCAGTCCCACCCTGTTTCTTTCTAATCCTAGCTGCTGAAGTTTGCTTTTGTTAACAAAATTCACATCCTATTTTTTCAGCAGCTATCATCGTTGAGCAGTTTGGACACAAACATAACCTTAAAATCACAACTGTGTAGCTATCTTTAGACAAGTCAACATCAGTGTCTGATTCAGGGCACATTTTAAGACTTATTAGTACAAAATGAGGTCAAAAACCTACTGGTCTGATCGGTCGTACGAATACAAAGCGACGCCGTACCTGTCTGTGGTGTGAGACACAGGTCTTCTGTGCTTTCTACTTCCAGGATGCTGAAATTAGGATCCCTTCCACATATTCTGGGGAAGTGAAAAACAGAGAATAAATCATCAGCTGCATTTCACAATGAAAAGTTCTTCTAAAACAATCTATTTCTCTTGAACCTTCAACTATGTGAAAAGGTTCCTATTAAACAGAAACGGAGAGGCTTTTTACATTTTTTGAAATCAAACTTTGTTGATCTTATATTGGAGAAATTTACCTCTGCTTTTAAGCCATCCCCTTGGGCTGCCATTGTGGGGCTCCCGAGGAGCACTATGACTATGGCAGAATGTGGGAGTGGGGCTCAAACTCAGGCCCTCAGGATTCCAAGCTCTACGCCCTAACCACTAGGCCACCACCCCCCTTGCTTTACATTTTTTTCATACTGGAGCACAGGGGAATATTATTCCATTTCTGCTGACCTAAGCAGTCTCTCAGATTATTATGGAAATCTTTTTTACTATTAATCTTATGTAAATTGAAAATTTTAAAAGAAACTCAATTTTAGATCAATTTCATTTTAAGTTCTGATCCTTAAAAGCATTGTTAATTATATTTCTGCTATAACCTATACTAAAGTTTAGCTTTTTAAACTGCAGAAATTGAATGACTTCATAATAAGATTTAGTGGGATGAACCTGTGCATTCACATAGTGGTAATTAGTGAGACTATAGAAAATGAAATTATAAAGATCATTTCTTGTGAACATTTTTCCTTTCAAATTTATTTTTAAGTCTTTTAGAAAAAATACACAGATAAGAGCAAAAAGGAAATTTGAATACTTATAATAAATACTTTAATACTATGAAAAAAGTTACAAATTTGAAACAGATTGTTACCGACTACAGTCAGCTAATTATTAAATAACACCTGCACATCTGTATGGTTTAGTACAGTGTTTTTTTAACCCTAGTCCTGCATGTCAGGTGATGTCTGGCCTGAAATCACCTGATCAATTGATAGCAGATTAACAGGTTTTTTTTTTAACTCCAATTATCTGAATAAGGTGTGGTGAAGCAGAGGACCATCTAAAACAGGCATCCCCAACCTCGGTCCTCGAGGCCCGCTGTCCTGTAGGTTTTAGAGGTTTCCCTGCTTTAGCACAGCTGATTATAAGGATTGCAGTAGATCTAAAGCCTGTTAATCAGTTTTTAATTAAAATCAGCTGTGCTGAAGCAAGGAAACCTCTAAAACCTGCAGGACAGCAGGCCTGGAGGTTGGGGATGCCTGATCTAAAACATGCAGGGCCTTGAGGACCAGGGTTGAAAAGCACTGGTTTAGCAGATTGCTGAATCATAATAAAGACTGCTGATTGGTCAATGTCCTGAAGACAGTCAATGACGCCCTCCATGAGGAGAAGCCACAGAAGGTCATTTCTAACACTGCTGATGGGCCACTGAGTGCTGTATGCAAGCATATTCATGGAAAGTTTAGTGGAAGGAAAAGCCATTCAAGAACAGAACTGCAGATGGAAATTTCATATTTCTGGTGTCAAGCCACTTTTTAAACAAATTTATCGCTAGAGACTGAATAATTTGGATGGATGCTCAGAGGTCTAAAGTCGTCTTTTCATTAATAAAGGTCAATTTATGCTTCCGACGCATAGCCTCTGCAACCGTCAAATCTGTCTCTGTGCGCGACCACGCCCCCCGCTAAGAGGTTCTGCAACTGTTGTCACGCACCTCAAAAAAAATCCTGACTATGTGTCGGACGGTCGCAAACCCGCGCAGACCTCAAGCGGAAGTGCGCAGCCCAAAAGAAGCTGTGATTGGTCCTTGGTATGCCTTTCCGGCTGTCTGTGTGGTCGCCCTTCTCGATTCGGTGCCGTGGCGCGCCATTTAGAAAAACCGAGGAACAACTACAATGGACAACCTACGCGTCCTCCTTTTTCTTTTTGCCAACGCAATTAACAGAACAACTGTAGTTCCATCTCCGACAGTTCATATCTCAGACTCGCCTTAGACTTTATAATGAATGGATGAAACTTTATCAGATTCTATTTCAATATGTTCTTGTGTCATGTAGAATATTGTGCAACATTTGAATTTAGTTTATAAAGCTGGAGAAGAAATTGCCCCAAACTCAGAAAATAGTTGAGATACATTTTACACATATCTGCAACATCCCTTATCAAAACTAAAGGAATTTTAGCTAAGCTGCTGGAGGGAGTATGAGTGCACATGATCTAACCATCCCATCTAACCATCCCAGCACTTTTCAGAAGGATGTCACAACAATTTTTGCAGGTTTCCTTATGCTAATGTCCAACCATTTGTACAGTGAGCATTGTACATTAAAAAAATAGTAATTTCCCTCTGGGATTATTAAAGTATTTCTGATTCTGGTTCAAGGCTAGACAATTTCACTCTTCAAATAATCTCATAGGTTGGCATCATGAGTCTCTGCAGGTCAGTGAAGTTCCTCAACACCAAACTGCCTGTTCTATGTCTTTAGGGACACTGCTATTTAAACAATGTAAAAAGAAAAGAAATACATTTTTTCCTCAAAGTTGAGAGCATGAAATTGTCCGTAAACCATTGCTATCCTGAGGCATTAGGTCTAAAATAGAACTAAGGGATAGAACCCAACTTAGGGAAAACACTGTCCCCCGCTGCAAACTTTAAACTTGACACAATTCAAGCACCCTCCAGTAACCTAGCAACTACCAAACCCAGACTCCCCCATTGAACTGCCAGACAGAGAGGTACGATTCATCACTTCAGTGTTCAGTGGTGGCATGCTTTACAATGCTGGATCTGACACTCCTTGACTTTTTTTTTTTTTTTTTAAAGAAAGCTGGGCTTCAATCTGGAACAGAAGGCCATTCCCTCAAGCTCTATAGCCGCTAAACTAAACTGAGAACAAACAAAGTTTCAAGGTCTTAATAGACCTGGAGGAAGCTGGTAACCCCTGTGACCTTTGCCCCTCATCTGGCTACAATATAATATTATATGCCCTAAAACTTTGCAGCTAGGTTTTTGCCATTCCCGATCACTTCCATTTTCATTCTGTTACCACTAACCTCTGATTGTGGAATATCTGCTAACATTGAAATAGCCTACTGGACCTACTGCACAGGAAGAATATTTTAATGGTAGGATAAAAGTGACTTATTTTTGCATACCTTTCCCTAGCTGGGTTTTAATACCAATGTGGTCATAACACCATTGGGAAATATGGTATATTTAAAAAAGAAATGGAACTTTTTTAGGGGACAAAAATATACAAAAGTGACAGCTTAGAGGTTCATCTACTCATTACATTAAATAGGCACGTATGTTGTTGTCTTGGTTACATTAAACATATAAATACTTGTATGCAAACATTTATTATATAAAATTAGGGAGAAGTGATATGAAGAAAGGAAATAAATTATTTAAGGGATTTTTCTTGGCACATATCTGGCTAGACTTTCTAGAGGCATTCAAAGCTTTTTAGGCCAGTGAATATATAAAAACAGAACTAATATCTGTATTTATTAATTATGTATCTGTAGGAGTGACATGTCACGCCAGTGGGGAAGCAGAAGCACTGCTAGGCTGGACACCTCCTTGCTAGTGCTCGGTGTATGTGGCTGTGTTTCAGTGGGTAATGTTGCAGCAGTAATAAAAACCGGAGCAGCAGCTCCAAGTTGAACGTGCTGCAGTCGCCCACAGGAAGCTGCTGGGAATTCTGCAGCACGCGCTCTCCCTAACCGGGTAAAAAAAAAGAAGAAAGAAAGAAAGCCGGTGATGCCGCGCGCCTAATTGGGCCTCGAGCCATTCAATCTTTGATTTCGGTAACATTTCCGCACTGGAGCTGGGTCCAGTCGCCGCATGTAAACGCAACCCCCGTGGTCAAAAACCAAGCCCGTTTATCCAGCAGCTATATCTATGAGCACCGGTTCCGTCGATCATGTGATCAGAGATTCGGACTTTTGCTTCCCGTCCGAGAATGATCTCAGCAGTCTTCCTTCAGTTTAAAAAAAATAAACACTAAACGCGGTACGTTCCTGGTTAGCCGAGCAACGCTAGCATCTACAATAAACACTGGGTTGTGTTGCGCGAAAAAAGAGAAAGCAAGCTAACTAGCAAAGCTTGAAGAGTTAGGAGGGTGCGATAATTTAATGCGCAGGCGCCCATTCCCTCTCGCTGTTTGTTATGTAATGTTCAGGTTCAGACTGGGCCGATTGAAACAAACATCTGATAAATTATAACGATAAAAAAAACACACAAAAAGTCTTATTAAACCCGCTTGTTCACGTAAGGCAAAGGAGGAGGGAGTAGGGTCGCAGGTGACGTCACTGCGTGGGGTCAAATCTGTTTCGAAAATTTACAGCATTTCCTAACTTATTTATAACCATTAAGAAATGTTTCAGCCAACCGTGACTAGCAAAAAAATATATATTAAACGTAAATTTTAAAGTTTTATATAAATGTTGCATTGAATATGCGGGGGGGATTCAAAGGGGGTTAGTAACACTTCCTTACAAAATCTTGACTTGCATCAAAGTGCTGTTTGAAGCGTTATGTTACCTTCATTGGTGCTAAGAGTTTAACATAAGGCATTTTACATTGTGATGCAAATCGACCTTTAATGCAAGTTATTTAAAGTATACAAATAAATCAAATGTAGCCTCGTAGATTCATGTCGTTAGTTTCAGCACCCCCTCGTGCCCCCCCTTTACTTCCTCCTTGCCCCCTCCCTCTCATGGCCGCCATCTTAAGTTCCCACCTACCTGAAATTTCCGACTGATTTTCTTTTACTAAATTCTCGCTGAAGGAGTCGTCATCCGCGCAAAATCGCACTCAATCCGTGATGCCGGTAGTCCAAACTGGCTCTCGGTACCCAACGAGGTACACCTAGGACTGTGGGAAGAAGTTAAAATCCGGAGCGGGAGAGACTGGGTTTCGGCGCAGAATGTAGCGGTCGCGGGGAGGAGACTTTACGCAGCGAAATGGTGGAGGAGCGCTGCTGCTGACAAAGTACACAACACTCCGTAATCTCGCGAGATAGCGTCAAGCGCGCCACTTGAAATTTGGAAACGGCAGTCTTTAAAACTATGTAAATTATTTTTGCCTTTGTGTTACACTTATTTTAGACCAAAAAAGATTTTACGTCTCTGCCGGACGATGATTTGCAATTCTATTTATTCGGGCATATTTCATTTGTTTTTGTACACGTCGCTAAAAGAATTTAGAGATGAGGAGTAACAAACTTATTTATTATTTATTCTCTTGAAGTGCTAAAGTTTTACAATAAGAGTGCGTTTTTATTGGATATATCAACTGTTGAACATAATTTAGCAGTTTATATTGGTGTATAAACTGTTAAATAAGGTTTTAAACGTGTCAGATCTTATATTATATATATATATATATATATATATATATATATATATATATATATATATATATATACTATTCAATTATAGAATGATTGGAAAATCTGTAGTTAAATCAGCGTTAAATTACCATATGCATATACATCTCAATGAAATTCAGAAGTTTTGTTGTAATGATTATGGCTTTTACAAAATAAAAACATTATCACTTACCTGTTGACCAGAATTGTATTCAAATATACTTTATTGATGCCAAAGGAACTTTAAATGGTTTGTATCTTAGATTTTTTTTTTCCACCCAATGGCTGTAGGTGTTTATATATGTGGGCAGCAAGGATCTAGTATTCTGTCTAGCTGCAAAAATAAAATATTGCATTTTGATATAGAGATATGTTGGCATAGCAACAGAAAAATGGAGGGACATGGCAATAGCTGTCTAGAAGTGATTGACACTGATTCTGATAAAGATGCTAATGTGCTGTAACCATATAAAAGAAACGTTAATTGGAAATAGATGCACAAACAAAAAGAATATAGGATCTAAGAAAAATTATAAAGTAAATAAATACAATAGCTAGTAATGCAGATGAACTAAAGAGTTCTTATAAATCAATCTGAGTTCCTCATACCTTCCATACAAGTGCTTTAATGTTTTAATTCACTTAAATGTAGCCAGAGGCAAGTGACCATTAATACTTTACAGTACAGGAAGGTTCTTTTCATATGTTTGTGCATTTTTATTACCCTGTTTAAAGTCCTAAATACAAAAAAAAAAAAAATGATTCTGTGTGTTTTTAAATTTTTTTTAAATTAACAATTAAACAGCAGTTTATCACAAAAGATCTTGTGACCATGTCCTGGATGTTTTTAAGGGTAGTAGATTGTGAGGCATTGGCTGTATCCACACTTTGTAAATGTCTCTGAAACCAAGTGTGATATTGCTTCACAAACTTTTAAAAAACTTCAGCTGTTTCATATTTAGAATTTTATTATTTTCATATTTTACTGAAAATTATCATTTCACAAAATGTTCCTTAAGTACACATTATTTGACACCCAGTGCAATTCATATATATATATAAATATCCATCTATATAAATATCCATGTAAACCCCCTGTTATATAACCTGTATACACTTTATATATCAGTGCACCTTTTTCTTCCTTTGGCACATTTTTTTTTTTTATTTGAGTATTTGAGCTGATGTAATGAGTAAATAAAAAAATTCCAATCAGATAAAGTCAATCAATCAATCAACAGTAAAGCACTTAAAACAACCATCTTATCTGCCAATGTGGAATAACTATGACTGGGAATTCTCTGCCAATGGTTTGGTGGATGTCAGATCACCAAACACTGCTGACAAATCAACAGTGTCCTTCATTACGGTGTAGGTCAGGGGTCATCAATGCGTTCCCAGCAGGCCTTAAGGGGCCCTTAAGGACAACATGAGGGGCCCTCAGAATCTTCTGAAAACAGAACAACTCACCAGTGGGCTAAGTTTGAAATATTTGTTTATTCTGTTGCTCTTCTTTTTAAATAATTTATACATAATTTCATTATATTAATGATAGGCAGCATTTATATAGATTTCACAATGACAATATTTTAAAGAAAGTAGAAATGAAAAGAAACTATAAAATATGTTCATTGTGAATGGAGTTTAGGTTAACGCCGACCCCTGCAGTTCATAGGTCAGCATTGGTAGCCCTTCCTCTGACTCAGTAGCCATAAAGTAACTTTGAGCCTCAAAAAAGTTGGTGATACCTGGTGTAGGGCATAATAAACTGTTTAGATAAAAACATCTTTATCTACTATGAAACTCAAATATTCAAGTAACTGAATTCTAGGTTTTCAGTTTTTCAATCAGTTTACTGAGATGCTGCTTTGGATAAGTTGAACTTTCATGAGCCAGACTCCCTGATAGACAGGAAGCAGCACATGAAGCTGAGAAAACAGGTCTCTGATTCCAGGCCTATCAACACCTGTTCTCCTAGAGGCTGTGCTCGTTCCCCTCTGCCCTACAGAGGTGGTTCTACACAGGGGTCAACGGGGGCTGGTGCCCCTGAAGAACTATTCCTAGCCCCTGTTATGACCTATGTACCAAAGACTTAAAACAATATACATTTATGATAAATAAATCATATGTACTGGAACAGAAACCACAGCATAGGTCCCTTGGAGCACTTTAACTGATAATCTCTATATTTTTATTTTATCAGTAATTTAAAAATTAAATTGTTTCACGTTTAACTCTACTCATATTGAGATAGAATCAGTTTTTATCTGTTAGATCTGAGGTTTGCAGAGGTGCAAGCAGCTCTTGACTCACCTACCAGGGGTAAAAATAGATTTAATTCTTCCTGGTACTATATAGAAAAAGCTTATTGGCCAATATCTTTTTTATTACATCCTGCATGCATTTTTTTATTCAAATATATATGTATATATATATATATATATATATATATATATATATATATATATAGTACTATATATAGTAAATTTGATCTAGAACTGCCATTGCAGGTGACCCCTCCCAGCCTGGACACAAACTGCTTCAGACTCTCCCCTCTGGTACAGCTAGCCTCATTAACAAAGCCCACTGGCAGTTTTCCTATTGGAGGAAAACATCAAAACATCTAAGCACATTTATATGTATATCATATATAATCCAACCTTCATTTTCAAAATGCATTTCTTAATTCTTAATTTTTTTATTATCTCCATATATTTTGATGTGTCACACTTCATCACCAAAACAACATCCTTTGATCTGTAAAAATGCCACTTGGCAATAAAGCATTTCTGAATTTAATAAAATCTATGATGGCATGAAAATGTCCACTACTAAGCAAAGTATTTGATGTACCACACCAAATGATTCCCACTTTTAAATGCTTTTAGGAGTGTTTCCAGCACACAAAAAGTTTTCTTTATACATATCAGGAATCTGGAGCAATATCTTGATTTTATATTCTCAAGATTCTTTAGCAGGTTAGAGTGATCTTTAAAGACATCACAATTAATGATTGGTTAACGGATTCATTGGTTTTATTTAGATTTGACATCTAAACCAGAAAGAAGTGGGATACTTTCACCATCCATGGCTCATGAAATGTTTGACCTTTGTAGGAACTTTGCTTAACACATTTAAAAAAAAACATTTAGTACATAAACCCGGATTAATTAAATCTTTATAGCTAGTTTAGATTTAAAATATTTATAGTATCAATCTCTAACTGAAGAGAAACATGTCAGGAAATCATAATATTGTTCTTGTAGTTTTATTCTGAGGTCAAAAAGGTATTAAATATTCACCAGTTAATTCCATGGAGTTAAGCTGGGTTTTCCTTTCATTAACAAGCTATGCAGTTTTTTTTAAAGCTAAAAAAAAATTTAAAAAATTAAAATAAACTTGTGTTTACAAGAACATATATACAAGGTGCACCATAAATAAATAAAAAATAGGTTTGTTGTACTGAGCAAGTGAGTTAACATTGTTTAAAAAAACACAACTAAATCTACTAAGTTGTGTCAGCCTATTAAACACATAAAATGAGTGATGTAACTGGGAAGCAATAGTTGTTTTGTACAGTAAAGGAATATGTTTATTTCCTGGTGGTTACTACCTCCTTCTCCTCACTAGTAATCTAGAAACATTTTCTATAATGCACCATCGGGGTGAGAAATAAATTAAGGAGAATCAGGTTTAAAGAAACATCTTACACTTTGTCTTTACATTTAGGGTTTGATTTCATTTAATCTTTGTTGAACTAATCAAACTAAACCTTTGCCAGACTTAAATTATTTTATAGGGTATTTAGGAGCATAAGACGACAATAAAATGGTTAAAACTGTTCTGGGTAGAAAGTAACGGGGAAATCCATAAGAAGGCAAATTCAATTGGATCCCAGCAGTTGAATCGCTGCTGGAGTCCTCACTTAACATGAGTAAAGAATTAACCCTAAAGATTTAAAACCTTTTATATGAGCTTCTAAAAGTCTCACATCATTTATAAAAAGCATCGCTAAAGTTGGGCTGTTAAGATATAATAATTAGAAGTCACAGGTTATATCAAATGTCAGTGACACTAGTGTATGATACATGAACTCAGCATTTTTTTTATATTATATTTATATACAATTCTTTCTCAGATAATCTGCCTTTCAGTTGAAGCTGGAAAAATAAAGTGTTTGTTTTTCCAAAAACATGTAAAGAAACTTGTAAGTTTTTAGTTATTCAAAATTATTTTTAAACCGAAACATTACTTGATCAAAAACAAAGTATTTTGAGCCACATTTGGCTGTATTTAGAAACTGTCCAGCTTTAAATAGACTTTAATCTTTTAAATTTACTTTAAAAAACAGACTGGCAATCATGAGGCTGGGCATTTATTGGCGCATCTTTAGTATTTTAACTAAAGCACAACATAGTTGACTGCAGTTGCCTAAATATGAAATAAAACCAATAAAAATGTTAACACAGAAATGTTCTCTACTGGAGATGCCTTCTGAGAGGATGATGTCCAATAGATTATGTGCAAAAGTTCAAAGCTAAGGAATCAAACCATCCAGCGTTGTATCCTGGTATAGGAAAGGAAAGTTTAAAAGGAAAATCGGTGGTAGAAGAA